TTCAAAGCCTGATTCTGGAATCAGTAATGTTTCCCATAATAAAGTAGGAAAGATAGAAATGCTTCCAGACTAAGCCTTAGGAGACTGATTATCTCAGCACAGCACCTTGTCATTACTTCTGGGGCAAAGGATCTTCAGTATCTTACTGCATCTCACCCCAACTCGCGTATGTCTGGTGAGAATTTTCCCTGCGTTCCTTCTGCATGGAACTGCAGTGCTCTGGTCACCAAAAAGCTGCTTCTTGTCTCCAACCTTGCTTTGTTGCTTACTATAAACACGTATGACAAATGAGTGTTATCACTGTATGAGAAATAGCTATCCTCAGTCAAGCTGTGCGAATGACAAACTTTGGAGTAAAATAAACCAACATATAGTCCTTGCCACTGTTGATTTTGTTATAGTCAAGGGAATCTTCAAAATATATTTTTAAGTATACATTTCCTTACACCTCAGCTCCAGAGCTTTGTTATCCAAAGCTTGGCTACAAATCACAGCCCACCACCTAAGGATGCTGAAAGTCTACTCTATGTTGACCTTTCTTCACCATCTGAGTCCCTGTAGTGTACACTATGCAAGCAATGTTTTCTGTAGTTAGAGGAGCCTGAGATATTCTTTGACATGACCTTGATACGACTGGAATTATTATTTTGGTCTTGAACCCACCATGCTGATATTCTCCATGCTGGAAGGATAAATTTTAATTCTGGATGGTACTTCTATTTTGAAAATAAATAGGAGGGACTTTAATCTGAAACTATCCATCCATTTCAGAAAATATGAGGAAAGGAGAAGAAAAGGATGACTTAAAAATTCTTAGCAGAGACCCACTTCATCATTTATCATCTCTGCTTGGAGGCAAGGTCTTGAAACAGTGCTACCTATTTAACTTAGGCAAGTAGCTTTTCTCACTCTCAGGAAACCTGCCTGTGTTTAGCAAGCCAAGGGTTGCTAAAACACTTTGGTTCCCTTATACCGAGCAGGGACTCTACCAGCAGCCCATTTTTTGTCCAAAAGAGTTTGCCTGCACTGAGAACCCGTGGATGCCACCCTGGGTGAGAGGAGGGGAGCCAGATTTCCCCTATGACAGCTCCGTGCTCCCCTGCCTTGCTCTGGCTCATGTAGGGACAACCATGCAGGCTTTCTGGTCTCTTTCCCAAGGAGCCTCTCTGGTGGATTGGACTGAGCTGTTTCTTTTTGGGAGGTCTTCATAATCAACACAACTGGAGGACTTAAAACAAAACTGGGAAATTTTGTAGTCTCCCAGTGATCTCTGCATGGTAAAAATGCATCACTTTCCTCATCCTTGCCCTTACACACCACTGGCAGCTTTAATGCCCATGTCTCTGCTGCAGAAGTCACGCTTTTGTTGTCTGCTGTTCAGCAGCCCCAGGCACCACAGCAATGCAAGTGCTAAGCTGCTCTAATACGCTTTTCCACCCAGTTGAGCTTCCCTAACATCCTATTTCCAGAATAAAATGCTGTCTTTTCCACCCAGTTTCCCACCAGCGCAATTAACAGACTGAAGTCCTGTGCCAGCTTCATGTTTGCAAGCTGCCTTCCTCTATCAGAAGCCATGGTCTGAGTTTAAGACAGAGCTGGTTCCACTCAGTCTGCTGGGAACAACAGCAGTGAGGGCTCTCGCTTGGATTATTGTTTGCAGCAGTAGACAGGGAAAATAGCTCCTCTTGTAGAATGGGAAAAATGAGCTCAAAACATATCACTTCATCCCCTTCCTGCTCCCATGCATTCCTGGTCTGAGCCAGGGGAGAGAGAGCATTAGAAAATAACCTAAAGCACTGCATTATTTCACTGTTGTTTTCTTGTAGATATTTTTTGGAGGGAGATGTTGCAGGAAAGATGACCGATGTCATTTACCTGGACTTAAGCAAGGCCTTTGACATGGTCCCCCACCACATCCTTATCTCCAAATTGGAGGGATGTGGATTATCCACTCTATGGATGAGAAACTGGTTGAAAGGCCACAGACAGAGGGTGGTCATCAATGGCTCTATGTCCAGGTGGAGGCCCGTAATGAGCGGCATCCCCCAGGGGTCTGTCTTGGGACTGGTGCTCTTTAACATCTTTATCAGTGACATCGATGACGGAATTGAGTGCACCCTCAGCAAGTTTGCTGACGACACCAAGCTGAGTGGTGTGGTTGACACAGTAGAAGGAAGGGATGCCATTCAGAGGGACCTCGACAGGCTGGAAGGGTGGGCCCAGGTGAACCTAATGAGGTTCAACACTGCAAAGTGCAGAGTTTTGCACTTGGGCCGGAGGAATCCCAGGCATCCATACAGACTGGAAGGAGCGGTCCTTGAGAGCAGCCCTGTGGAGAAGGACCCAGGGGTCTTGATAGATGACAAACTTAATATGAGCCAGCAGTGTGCCCTTGCAGCTCGGAAGGCAAATGGTATCCTGGGCTCCATCAAAAGAGGGGTGGCCAGCAGGGACAGAGAGGTGATTGTCCCCCTCTACTCTGCTCTTGTGAGGCCCCATCTTGAGTACTGGGTCCAGGTCTGGAGCCCCCAGTACAAAAAAGACAGGAAGCTGTTGGAGAGGGTCCAGAGCAGGGCCACCAAGATGATCAGGGGACTGGAGCACCTCCCTTTAGGAGGACAGGTTCAGGGATCTGGGCTTGTTCAGTCTGGGGAAAAGAAGGTTGCAGGGTGACCTCACTGCAGCCTTTGAATCCTTAAAGGAAGCCTATGAACAAGAGAGGAATCAAGTCTTTGAAAGGGTTGATAACTGCAGGACAAGGGGAAATGGTTTTAAGTTGAGGGAGGGAAGATTTTGGTGGGATGTCAGGGGGAAATTCTTTACAGAGAGAGTGGTGAGGTGCTGGAACAGGCTGCCAGAGAGGTTGTGGATGCCCCATCTGTGGAAGTGTTCACGGCCAGATTGGATGGGGCCCTGGGCAGCCTGTTCTAGCATTAAATGTGGAGGTTGGTGGCCCTGCATGTGGCAGGGGGATTGGAGATTCATGATCCTTGAGGTACCTTCCTATCCTGGCCATTCTGTAATTCAGGTGGCCTTCTCAAACGTGTTGATTGACTGAAATAGGCAGGGAGATGGGGGAAAAGGCATCATTAGAGTTTCATAAAAGAATCAGTAGTCCTCTGGAGGGCTGGTATACTTTAGTTGTAAACATTTCATCCCTCTGATCAAGATGGAAACAGCAACCTGTGACTCAGACACCACCATTCTGAGCAGTCAAGAAGCTTTATGAATTACTGCGGCTCACTCATTCCTCGTGAGGAATGAGTAGCATGTCAGCAGAATGCTTACAAACAGAAAGCAAAGGAACAAAGAAGAAAATGATGGCATCTGTAGTCTATATCAAGCCTCAGATTCTGTACCTGCCTCCTCCCATGCATGGTGGTAACACACCTGATGCTACCAAAAAGAGGATGTTCTGGCCTATGCTCCCACTGACCAGCTCTCTGCAGCACAGTGCACGTACTGTGGGTGTGTAACACTCTGCAGAGCTGCTAAGTATTGGCAAAGAGAGGGAACATCATGTCCTTTCCAGCTGTAACTCCTGCGAATCCATGGGAAACTTTTTCCCTCAAACATCTCCGTTCATTTGCTATACTATTACTTGCTGGCTCATGTACACTTCCATGTGCAATAGTTCCAGTGCTGCTGCTTAAGCTACTTTCCATTTTGATATCAAGCCACATATTTCCAGCCCTGTAATATTTGTAATTAATATAAACACAGATTGCATCTATATTTGTATGTGCTAAACACCAAATTGTTGTGTGTCCTCCTGGCTCAGCCAAGGCTGCAGACTTCCCTGCAGTCTGGAGGGATGCTTCCACGTCACGCAGCTCCTGGACAGGCTCCTGGACAGTATCATGGCACCTGCACTGTGTCAAAAAGGGACCTTGGGACCATGCACCAACACACCAGCAGTGATGGCTTAGCAGGAAGCCGTGCTGGCTTTCGACCCAGTCTCACAGATGTGTCAGTACTGGCAGGTGATGCATCCTCATGCCTCACAGGCCCTGGCCCACTTCTGGCCAGCTTCCAAGCCACCATCACATCCCATTTATATTATCAAGGTGTGTCCACCTCCAAAGCCAGAAAAGTTCTGCCTGCCCTGGGATGCTACCTAACACCTCAACAGGTGAGAAGTTAGCCATGTCTCAAGTGGTGTCCCTCATCTTTTCTCAGTGCTGCTCTGGCAACCCCTACCAAAGCCAAGCAGCTGTCTGACAAGATGCTCCTGAGGGCTCCAAGGTTTTAGATCTTTTAGACCCATTTCCTCATCCTACATTGCTATCCCCATATAATCTCAGTGATTTGCAGCAGACTCTGGCAAGTACTCTTACAGTAAATGACACAGGAGCTGATTGCAAACAGATCTTTTCAGTATGTGTACATGAAATATATTTACTTTCAAGCCTGGAAATCTTATAAATTATTTTTTTGTGTGTGCAATTTTTTCCCCTACTCATTTCATTTTCCCTTTTTAACTGTGCTTGCAACATATTTGGAACCTGCCCTCCCTAGTCACACAGAAGAATTATCACCTTTCTTTTCCTGAGAAACAAATACTACAGAGCAGTCACTCCAGCGTACACCACAAGTATTACTGGCAGGGAATATGCAGGTACTTCAGATTTATGTGGTTCTAACTGAAAGCAGAACTCAGCCACGTTCTGCATGACTAATGAAAAGAGATAGCCACAATGGGCTTCAGTATGAATCTGGCTTCTAGAAGCAGTGGCAATAAAAATAGCAATGCTATCATTTATTAATACTAATTATTTCAACAGTCAGCCGTGTTAGCCTGTTTGTGAAAGGATGTGCTGAACAAAAATGCATAAAGAGAAAATAGTAGTTCTTTTACCAGAAGAATAGAGGCAGTATTCTGTCCTCCAGGAACTTGGATTATGCTCTTTGGCACATGCTTTGAATACTATTCTTATTATGCAGAAATAGTATTTCTCTTCCAGCATCCTTGGGATAAGCATTTTTTTTCTTGGTTTTAGAGTTTCTGAAGCTCCTGTTACTCTGTCAATTGAGCATAAAGAAACATTATGGCATCTGAACCATGCCTCATCACCTGCACACAGAACCTCAGAGCTGAGCAAAGATGGCCAGTAGCTCTCAGTCAACAGGAGTCAGGAGCAAGAGAGCAGGTAGTAAGAATTTTTTCCCCACTTGTTTAATTATAATTCTCTTGTAGAGTTTTAGGACTTCTCTGACATATTTTATCAGTATCCAAGCCTTATCCATCTCCTGCTTTTCTACCTTACAGATGATAAAAGCATTCATTTGCCCTTTTGTATCTGCCAATCATTAATTAACAGTATTTCAGGTCTAAGTTCTACCCGTAAACAGCTCTGAAAGAGAACAAAATATTACATTTACATGTCACATGCAATGGTTATATCTTGTTAATTTCTTGAATGCATATGTTTGCATTCAAGTTAATTTAGGGATGATGACAAGTATAATACTGACAAGCCAAAAGTTCAGCACAAATACTGTGCATTTATCATGAGGGAACCTGAACATCTTCCATTTGCCCCTGAATCCAAGGTTCTCTTCTACCCCATACGAGATTCCTTCCCTCATATCCTCTTTCTAGGGTAAATTGTGCACACAAAGCCGATGTGTTCAGATAGTGGATTCCTGAAGGCATGCATTTTTGAAGCAAGTTGTGGTGCACAGTTGTCACATTGCATATGCTGTTCTCTCTGCAATTTCTCCCCTACAATTTCTGAATGCACTAGTCACTTCCAGTCACACTTCACAATATGTGAGAGATATCAAAAATATGGCATCCCTATAAAGTAGTGAAAATCAGGGCCTGGCGAGAGATAGGAGATGCCAGTTATTGTCCTGAGGGAAGGAGCTGCACAGTAAGACCAGTAATTATCTGTCCTGTTTGATGGGCCAGCTGGCCAAGCAACAGGCATCTCCCACAGAGCAGGTCAGTGCCACGTGGCCCAAAACGGACCATAGCACATACTGCTTTGGGCTCCCCAGCAGTCCCCAAACTGTCAGAGAAGACGGAAGGGTCTGAGGCATTTCAGGCAATGTGTGGGAATTGCCAGGTTATAGCCTGAACCAATGATTGAGCACCAGCTGAGAAGATGTAACTAATCCAAGGAGTTCAGGTGCAAGCAATGCACTTGAGTAGCCAGAATGTGTGAAGCCTGGGTCCACCCCTCCTCACCCTTATTAAGTGCTAGCAGTCAAGGGAGCAGCATTTCCGGATGTACACTGCATTGTTCTTGAGTTGTTAACTGGTCATCCAAAAGGGTGAGTTGATTTTTCTCTTCTTTGTCACCTTCTGTTTCTCCTTAGTGTTTCTGTCCTAGTAGAAGGCACTGCTATCACCTTCCCTTGCTCCACAATATGGAAAAATGAGCTAATGGGAAACTGTTACAGTGGCTGTCGTTATATGGCTGAAATACATAAATCCCATACAGTGATAGTCTGCATCAGTTTGTATGTTCAGGAAATAACTTTTTTGCTACATGCCTGGTAGTTCACTGTGGAGAAGATGGGTTGTGCTGAATGGCTGAGCTGCAGGATGTCTCCCAGGACTGGTAGAGACAGTTTTTTTTTCTGTACAGATGTGCACTGTCACATGGACCTCAAACCCCACAGCAAATACAAGGCAACTGAAATAAGTCTTGCCCCAAAGACAGACAACTAAGCTAACTCAAATTATCCTCCATTCATTGTGGGTAGTGAGCATGTCCAGAGACTGTTGTTACAGCCAAAGTTCTGTCCAACTATGGCTGTTGAATTCCTCTAACTTCATTGTAATGCTGGGAAGCTGATGAGCTACATTAAGACAGATGCTTAGTAAAAATAATCACAATATCTTTACAATTTTCAATCCTTTTATTGGTATGTAGTAATCTAATCACAATGTGATGCATTTTTCTTCTTCTAATGTGCTTAGCTTTTTTTCTTTTTTTTTTCATACGAACAGAAACAATTTGAATAAATGGAAAATCAAGAGGAGGATGAAACTCACAATTTATATTGTGACAGTATTTCTTTCATCAAAGCAAAGAAAATGTTGATCTATAGCAGCTGTGCTAGGTTCAGGAATACAGTGTCCATTGTGAAGTCTTTCTGAATGATTATTACCCAAAATCAGAGCACTTTGCTTCCCCACCCATGTTTCTGCATGGAAAAGATGCATCATTAATGATTACCTATTTTGTCTTTTCAGGTGACCTTTCTCCAAAAGCCATTATTTTCATCACTTTCATGTGAAATCCATCAAAATTCTCCTGTCTTGCTAATTCCTGTGAGGCCTCCTTAGGTCTCACAGCTGGATGGCTAAAGCATCAACCTGTTCCTTGACCTTAGCATCCATTTTACTTTTAAAACTTCCTGCGCACAAGCAAGCAGTTCTTCAGACTGGCAAACCAGGCAGAAAAGCTAGCTTTTAAGGAACTTCACAACACTTGCCATGTGTTTCGTTTCCATCAAATATCACCAGACTTGTCCAGCTGCTGTCTCCTGGGTTAATGGCCAGTACCTTCCCCCTTCAGGTGTCTCACTTAGCTTTTCCCTGAGAAAACAGGGCAGCCAACAGACCTGCTGGGATCTGAATCCTGAACTACTTTGGACGTTGATCTTTCCAACACTGCATGAATTTTTAAAAATAGTTACTGAAAGTTCAACTAAAGATTTATTATTTTTTTAATTAGTTAGACCTTAGGAAGAAAAAAGGAGAGACTCTGACAGATCCTTGGTCCCAGAGCTGCTTATCAGCATGTACAGTAAACAGGGAAAATATCATAAATATTACATTTTCTCTCAAGATAAGGGATTTCAGAATGAAGGATTGCTTCCCAACAGCAAACTTCAGGGCAATGTCATGGAAATGGGTCACAGATTGCTGGAATGCAAAATCCATGCGGGTCTTCCCAGAAGCAACAGTCTCTCCTGTTCCACACAGCTCTCCTCTGCCTCCCTGGTGGTTCCACTTCTATGGTTGTGATCAGTGTGGACAGTCAAGGATGCAGCCTGGAGAGCTCTGCATCAGCACCTGCAGCAGTGACTTTTTGGAAAGGAGTGGAGCTCCATTTTTCTTCTGATTGCAGGAAAAAAAAAAAAAAAGTCAAGTTCTCTGCGAGCAAGATATATTTTTTATTTATTTATTTTCCTCAGCTTTTGGAAGGATGGTGTCTCTCAAGCTGAAGATATCACATTCCCCATGGCCAAAAAAGAGGCTTGGACCCTGCTGGGGTCTCACTCTGGTACTGATTTCACAGTGGGAACTCTGAAAGGCTCAGGCTGATCCAGACTGACCTGACTGGACTTGGCAAGTGGGATGGAGGAGCTGCCAAAGGCTGTCCCACTATGGGGTCTCTGGACGGGGGTTCTGCAGCTGTTGGTGGGAAGTGGACGATGGACCACCTCTGGGACACACAGTGCTCCTGATCCACGTTGGGAAGCTGCTCTGGTTCCTGTCTCTCTTTAGCATTCATAATGATAACTTGGCTTGTTCAAGTTCTCTTCATAAATCCTGATAAACTCCTAACCTCAAAAACATCCTGTAACTAGGGGCCCCTTGTCTAGTTGCTATGTTGTGAGAAAAAGTGTTTCCCCTTATCACCATTACGTTTGCAGCTGCTGAACTTCACCAAATCTCTTCATGCCCTTGTTTTAAAGACAATGCGAATATTAATTCTTCTCTTTCTTATCTATCCCACCCACTCTCTCTTCATACATTCATCATGTCCCCTCTTAATAATCTCCCCTTGAAGGAGCCAGCTCTTTCCATCTCTTCTTGTGAAAGTTTTGCTTGCCCACATCAGTAATGCAATCAGTTATGACATACTTGCTTCAAATAGGGCTCTGCATCCAAAAGAACTAGGTGATTCCATATCACGTTATTCAAAAATTAAACAACCATCATTTCATTTAATATATCTACAAAAAGCACTTAAAGGAAAGTTTTACAACAGCATCTTCTGTCTTGATTTGTAGCATAATTTTTCTATAATTATATTCTGTTCAGAAGGTCTTAAATTTTATTAACAAAGCTATTTGTTTTTGATGAGTATCTTATTTAAAGAGTCTTAGCACACTGTATAAGAGCTAAAGGAAAAGATGCTTTTAGTTCCATAAACAAATCAACTGACTTGATTTCTTTTTAAAACATTTTGAAGGCACTAAGAATTTATGGTTTACCATGTGATGCTCACTGCTAATGGTACCCATCGCATTTTTGTGGTATCAGTGTTGTCTGTTTTCCATAAACGTGACATCATAATTTAAAACAGCAGCTTCAAATATGTTTTGCCTTTACCCAGCAGGAGATCACATCACATTGTTTTACACTCTCAGTGGAATTGCAATAACTGAAGTATAATTTGTATGGCCTTCCCAGTCTTTAATGTTTAACCAAAGTACCCTGCCTTTGTTTAAATACCTATTAATTCTGCTAATTTTCAGCCTTACTGTTAATTAACAGCAGCTGCTTTATAAGGAGACTGTATTTCAACTTGAGGGAGAAAGACACATGCCTATACCACAGCTTCAGTTGGCAGAGCCACCTTCCCTGTTCCATTATAAAACTTCCCTGCCCTCTTTCAGAGGGAAAGAGGAATTTGAGGAAATTCTTTGTCACTGTGCTTCACTCTTAATTATGAAAGTAAGTTTTCCCTTCTTTCTCCACCCTTTCCAGCTCCTTCCCAGCATAAAAATCCCCTCCAATATGTAGATATGGCATAGAATAACACAGAGAGTCCCAGTTTACTTCTGAGTTTCAATTGCTGAGTAATTCAATATGCTTTCATAGTGTAAGGTAAAATGAATTGTTTATAGGTATTTTATGATGTACAATGTTAGCTTCCAATGAGGAAGACCCCTGAATATCTTAGCTCTCCTCTCACAAGTATCCCTCTTTCTTCTAAAAGAAGTTCTGCTGAATTTTTGAGTATTTGCATCCCCAGAAGTTACACCAAGACTACAGCTATTGATTGCAAAGTTTCTAGGCAAACTCCTCACCTTAAAATATGTGTTTATGTCAGTGCTGAGATTAAAATGAGACCAGTGACCTGATTGTGTTGATCCACATTCTTTGGCCCAAGGGAGATTATTTTTATTGTTTCTTAAAAATAAAAAAGCACAATTAAAAATAATGAAGTATGAAAACAGAATCAAAGAGGAAATGAATAAGCATTAAACTCAGAACAATGGGATGGATCACAAATGACTTGCTGGGCCAAACAAGAAATACAGTCTCAACTCCAGCACTTCAAGGGCTTCTGCCTGTACTTAACTCTGTGACCCCTGGGCTGATCCTGTGCTGATTCAGTCCTAAATTCAGTAAGAACAAAACTAAGCCCTAGGAGCATTCATAGCAAAACCATATTGCACAGGCATGTCTGTAATCTGGGGAGAATAAATGTACCTCTGAAGTCATGTTGAAGTCCTGCCCATGGTGAATTCCGTGTCCCTGTGAGCTTGGTTATGACCTGGGGCTGGCCTTCCATAAAGACAGAGGGAGTAGAGGGAGTCATGGTTTTCTCTGAAATCAAAAAGAACTAATCTCTCAGCAGAGCATTAGGACACAGCATATAATTATGGGTCTCTACTCTTCATCATGATGCTCCACAACATTTTTTTTTTAGGTAGATCTGTTACATGTTGGGATGGGCTGCACTTTGGTTTTGCCAACAGTCATCTTGCAAACCACTCCAAGTGTTTGTGTATCTTGTTAGAGTTTCAAGAAGTCATTAAACCAAATTGCAATTGGTTAATTCAGGGCCTCACATTGCTCCAAAACAGCCTTACCCTGCTATGGAGAAATGCTTGTGAGATTTGGAGTAGAGTTATTCCAAAATATTAAATAATCTGATCTTGACGGATGGTTGGATTGGATGATCTTGTAGGTCTTTTCCAACCTTGGTGATTCTACAACATCCTAAGTAGGCTCAGCAAGATCAGGTTGCAGAAGCCTTTACCTAACTGAAAGTTCTATTGTCCTTAGCTGCATTCTGAGAATCAGAAGCATTTGTTATAAAGTAGACAGAAATGTAAATTCAGGAGCAACATGCTGATGACTGCAGACAAACATGGGGAATCAGAGGAGCAGCATATAACATGACACAACTTGTCCAGGGGAGGCTCAGGACAGAGATCTGATACTGGCCATCTAATTGCTAATAGGAAGAAGCAGCAGCCTTACTTAGTCAAAATAAGGTACAAAAAACAATGGAGAAGGACACACTCCAGAGAGTTCCTGAAGTGTATTGGCTTAACTTTCTGATGGAAAAGCAGAAGGTGGTGGCAAATGAATTGTTCTTGACTTAGTTTGGTTTAAAAAATAAAACAAATCTTTTGTTGAGATGATAACAATGTATAAATTTGGAGAACAGTGCGCATAGAATGCCAAAGTTTACAACTATAGAATCATAGAATCATAGAATTACTCAGGTTGGAAGGGACTTCAAGGATCATCAAATCCAACTGCAGCCTAACCGTAGTACCCTAACAACCCTCTAACAACCCTCTGCTAAATCATATCTCCAAGCACCACATCCAAACAGCTCTTAAATACATTCAGGGACAGTGACTCGACCACCTCCCTGGGGAGCCTATTCCAATGTTTAACCCCCCTTTCTGTAAAGAAGTGTTTTCTAAAGTCCAACCTAAACTTACCTTGGCACAACTTGTATCCACTATTCTAGTTAAGTAGTAGTATGGTAAAAGCCTACAGATAAGGCTGTTGAGTTCCACATTCTCTGGGACCTGCTGATCAGAGTCTTTCAAGTAGATAACCGAGGTTTTCAACAGGAAGAGAGGAGTTAGCAGATCATAAACATGGCTATGTTAAACATATACAAGCAGGTTACCTTTCTGCAGGAGGGTATGAGGCACATAAGAATACAATTACATCTGAGACATTAATTAAATGGTTACTACAGAGAGGATTAGTATAAACACATACCTAAAGATAAGGTAATAAGACAAACAATTGGAGATAGAATTAGAACAGCTACAGCACAAAAAGCGTTCCAACTAGGAAAAGACATAAATGGGAACAGGGAAAAAATCTATAAATACACTTTAATTAGAGGAAGAAAAAGGAAAGTTTAGATCCATTACTAAACAGGAAAAGAGAGCAAATAACTAATGTAAAGATGCCTGGTGTATGTTTTGATCCAGCCCTCATTAAAAAAAAGAAAAAACAACAACAACAACAAAACACTTTGTGACCAACTAATTACTTGAATTATTTTTAAAACAAGGTAGGACTGCAGGCCAAAACAGGAAAAGACCTAGTTAAAGAATACTTGGATGAACCAACTGCATACAAGTCAGCAAGGACTCATAAATTTCACCTGAACATATTCAAGGAATAAGATGAAGTAATCTGTGAATTGCTAACGATTATTGCAAAGCAGTTATTGTAAAGGAACCGCATAGAATAGGTTTAGCCCTAGAGAACAGGGGAAAGGTGAATATAGTACTGATCTTTAAAAAGCAGTAATGAGACCCCAGGAAGCTATAAACCATTCACTCTGATTTCCAAAAAATCTGGAATGAGTTATTAAACAATCAGTTTTTAAATACCTAGAAGATGGTATGGTGATAAAAACCAGTCTACTTGAGTTTGTCAAGAACAAATCATGTCAAACCAGCCTAATTTCCCTTTTTGACGGGGTGACTCGTGTAATGAATAAAGAAGAGCAAGTGGATGTGATTTATCCTAGTTCCCTGACACTGTTGCATTAATATATGAGCTGAAACACTGTCACAACAGGAAGGGTTTACAGCTGGATGATCTTCACTCCAAAAACACACTTATCAATTGTTCCTATCAAATAGGAAGTTGTTCAAGAAGAATTCCTCTGGGATCATTTCTGGGCCTGTTTCCATTCTTTTCACTAATGATGCATATGATGAAATCTGCGGTTACCATTAAATTTGAAGAGTCTACAGGAGTATCACAGTCAGAGGATCAAAGTTCAGAAATGGTCTGGGTAAGTTGAAAAGATGGTCCACAGATGACTTGGCTGAGTACGTGCTAGGACAACCACTACTTTTAGGTTGGAGGAATCAGATTCTAACCTCCAAAG